AGTGACCTTACCATTTACCTTCCATCCGGAATTTCCGAAATTTTCTGTCAAATGGTAAGCACCCCTGGTAACACGAGCTCAACCGCACATACCAGGGATTTGTCTGTCAACACGTTCGGTAAATCACGCAATAAATGACTTTCGCGGCAATCACAACACTACCGAAAACCACTCATAATACTTCTACACTTAACACGGGCGAAACGTCGTCAAATTACTTCGTAAAACTCTCGCTTTCTCCACATAAATCGTCACATGGAACTTTTCTCGACTAACAACGGATGTAAACCAGCGGTTGAAAAGGAGACATACAGCCCCCGCCTTCCAAACAATTTTTCATTAAGTCTCTGGCCTGGTCAGAAATCAGCGTCAATTTCCATCTCTCCGAATAGATTTCATCCCTAGAACTTATTATTAACTTGTTACTGCCAACAACAAAGCTCGCAATATCCAATCTGTCCGTCTCAAGCCCGGGATCAGTCTTTCACCTGCGTAGCCCGAAATGAAACGAAATACGAGAAGATATTGGACGCAGCAGACTTTGCTAGTCGTGAGAATTGTTCCTTCATAAGGCCTAATGATGCCTTCCGGAAAACTTTGCTCAAGGCAGCCAAATAAACTCTAAGACAACCCACTACGAGAGCCGAGTTTAGTCTGATACGCGCGCTGATTTCAAACTGACATACAGAGAGAATTATGGGAAGTTATGAGAAACTTTGTTTTTTTGGGGGGGGAGGAGTAGGTTAATAGCAAGTGAGGAACTCACCAAAGTCTATCTACTGCAGCCTATTCAGTAAATATTCGGTAAAAATTAGATAAATAAAAAGTAACCGAAAAACAAAACAAAAAAACATTCTTCACTACAAGACTCAGTCAGAAGCTATATGAGAGAGATTTCTATAGCCATGTTTTTGCAAATTCAGTCAGATATATATTGTAACAAAAGCGAAGAACGCATCTGTAGTCTTGAACTACAATTCTATTATATTATTTATCGCTCCTGAAAAGTTGAGCATTCTAGAAAGTTGTTCTAACCAGTTCAGAATGTATATTATGTTTTAGTATATACACACTCAGTGATCTTGGTGATTTAAGCAATCTGATTGGTTCGCTATCTCGGACTATTCAACAACATTTACCTCCTAGAGAGTGGATAATGTGTGAGCTCGGTGTTTTTCCCATTTTTTTAGAGAACGATCTTTTAAAAGTCGACAGAATCCTAGGGCTGACTTTTCTTAAGGCAAGAAAAGACTTGGAAGGATTCAATACGGCGTTTTTCAATTTACTGTAGCTGAGTTTTGTGCTCGATGAATTGTTTACAACTCTGATTATGTATTCGCGTAGAAGAAGCCGTTTCGTGAACTCAGCGTTTTCTAACAAGAAAATTTTGGCTCAAAAATCGAAGTTTATTTATGACAAACAAATTGAAAGGAAATTCTACGTTTCAAGTAAACAGGAAAAAGAATGATACACTAAGACGACGTCTTACCTCGAGCAACCGAGCCGCCATTTTTGTCAGCACTTCATGCGAAGAATGACACAACAAACCCTTTTGGCTATAAACTTGGCGAGTCAACAGAAACCAACAAAGTTCTGCTTTTCTTCTCAAGTAAGGAAACAGTTCAAACTTTTAGCAGTTCCATTTAAGCCATTACGCTCTTGTTTGCGAAATGATAAACTTGTGAATTGCCATGTTTGAAAATTCTGCGCGTGATTTGAATTCTTACGCGTGATTTGAACTGTCAATCAAATCGTGCTTTTTAATGGTTTCCTCTCTGATTTTGCTGAGATCACTTCGTGTGTATATACTAAAACAATTATTCTTTTCAATCTCGGTAAATAGTGGCTTTGGGAATATTTACCTCGCCGCTTTCGCGGCTCGGTAAATATTTAGCCACTATTCACCTCGATTTCAAAGAATAATTGTTTTAAAAATATACGTTATATTAAAAGAATATACATATTCATAGCTAGAAAATTATCCTATTAAAAGCTGAATCATTGGATAATGCAGTTCTAGAGCTCTGATTGGCGTAGTCATCATGGTATATGGGCCATTTTACCATGCTCTCCAAATATGGTAACTGTACGAGTCTGCTCAAAATTAAAAACAAGCTGAAAATCGGTTGTTTTTACAGATAAATTCGTGAAGAATTCTCGATATTTTGTGGGCGTTTTTAATAAAATAATTATTGCACTCGCACTTGTTGGATACGACATGATTATAGCCAACACGGCGCTACGCGCCTCGTTGGCTAACTACCATCTCATATTCAACGTGCACTCGTGGAATAATTGTTAATTATGTCTCAGTTGATGAGAGTACTTGGCTATAAAATTGAAGTTTCGACCACAGGTGATTTCCTAACGGGCAAAAAGAATTCCTAACAGAAAGGATCTTTTAAGTTCCAACTTGAAATAAAGCGGAATCACAAAATGAAATTCTGGGAAAACGTCACTAGACTATAATCTAAAAAAACGGATATCATATTGTTTGTCTGCCTTTTATTCTGCAGAGTTAGCAGGAATAATCCAAATAAGATCAAATAAAACTGTGCTTATTGTAGGCTTACTACAAACCAGTTGTGTTAAATTAGAAGGATCTGTAGATAGAGATTTTATGGCAATTGTCATCTTTTTGTCGCCTGACATTGCTCAAGGTATAAAAACCATTTGTCAAAATTATGAAGCTTTGTCTCAAGGGATTCTTCCGAGATCGTGTCCCAGTATTTTAGCAATTACACAATTTGTTCCCCAAGCCTAATGTTTTACTTATACAGTATATTATTTTTGTTACCATCAATAATTTGCACTATTAATGACCGCAGTTTTTAAGAAGCTATACAGAGGGTCTCAATGGGGTTTACCGATAGGCGTAAAACGGCCAAAAATTTAGTCGATAACCGTAAAAATTGAAAAATTTTAACCGTTAGCCGTAATTAGCGTAAAAAGAATTAACCATATAAAAAGCATTTGTTTCCTAGTTAGATTTGTTAATTTTAAGGAAGGTGATAAACTCACCTATGACCGGTTGCGTTTGCTACTTTAACTCCGTACGCGAGCGTGTATGCTTTTGCTTTTTCACGATCTTTTTCAAATGAACTATTATGTCTGTTATCAGGAATGATCCTTTTCATCCCTTTCAAAAAAATGTTACTTGACGAGGATGGCGTTGGGATTTTCGGTTTTGGCCATTTTTAGGTCGGTTTTTCGGTTTTGCACTGAAAACTTCGGTTTTTAGGTTTTGTTGGCCGTTGCGGTTTCCGGTTTTTCGGTTTTTTAGCAACCGGTTTTTTGGCAAAAATAAAGCAGGTTAGATTCCTCTGTGAGTCTCTGTTCAGTCCCGAAGTTAGGCTATTTTATATGTTTCTATTTTACTGTCAATCCAGATCAAATTGCAATGTGGGATTCTGGATTTTTGATTGAGGTTTACAGTAGTCTGTGCCAGGCTCTCGGTCAGTCTAGATGAGAGAAAAAAGGGAACGAGAAGTGAAAGAAGCACGAGAGCAGCGAAAACGTGAGTGAGCGAAAAACGGCGGGAAGGGAGAAGGGGAGCGCCTGAGAGCATATTGTTAAATACCTCAATCCGCCCACTACCCCGCCCACCTCACGTAAACATGTCAAAATGTCAAAATTTGCAGGGGCGGATTCGCGCGAGTTCGCGGGCTGAACTTCATGTGAACAATGCTTTCCAAGCTGGCGTTCTAGATTCCATATCTAGGCCATCTTTCGACGACCGGCCGGCTTTGACGATATTATATGACATGTCCCCATGATGTCTTGGGACGAGGGTTCCTAGAGTTTTTTTATTTACAGCCAAATTCGTTGTATCGCGGGGTTTCCAAATCACAATGCCATTTGCCGCAAAAACAAAACTGAGAATAACTCTTGACTGTTCAAAATAGCAAAGGAAATTGCGATGGTACTTTTGTCAAGGGAAGGAGGTAGACTTTGCTTTACTGTTACAAGTTAGGCCGAGGAAGACATTTCGTAAGAAAGATCAGAATCGCAGCAGACAAGTCGATAATTGCCCGAAGCGGGATGCTCACAAGCAACGAATCTTGAAATAAAAACGGATCGAAATCCATCAATCACAATCTGTTGCCTAAGAGGTCCGCTAAGATGATTGACAGAATAGAAAAACCTAAAATTCCTTCGAAGTTTGCAAAACGCTATACAAATAATTTGCCTGTAATATTGTACGAAACAATGAGCTAGTTGCCTACACAGACAGGGAATCTCTTGTCTCAGCCGATGTTTTTGGTTGTGCGAAACTAAAAAATTTTTGTCTGTCTGGAGAGACAAAGCCGGTCACTGTTGGAGCAAGAGTTCTTAAATCATATTTTATAGCGGGAAGTTCAAGTTACGTGTAAACAAGAATAACTCAGCTGAATAACTGCATGCGAGACGATTTCAATTTCAATCCATTTAATAAAATTCAATGAAAACATGAAACCAAAAGCCGTTGCTAACCATATGAATAGTCAAACGTACCACTGTCACAGAGTGACTTCATCTAAAGCCAGTGCAGCCGTCTGGTGGCGCAATTTTCTCTCTTCATCCTTGATTTGGAAAGCCAGGTCCGAAAACAATTTCGCATTCACCGTTTATAACTTTTCCTAGTCCTCGTCCCATTCTTCTCCGATTTCTATGGTTGCAGCCGAGAACCCTGGTCGTTTTAACTGTTCGACTTGATCTCTCATGATCGAAAGCAAAGGTGAAACTACGATTTCGGATGACAAAGATCATAACTTGACAAAATAGCTCTTAATCTTTAACTAAAACATGTCTTTATGTCTAGTTTAGGTGCCACTTTTGAGAATTTTGTGATGTTTTTGAGGCATTTATTCGTGCATTTTGCTTTCTTAATTTTGTTAGTGAAATAAAGACGACCGGTTTTTGCTGATTAGAGAAAGATAATGCCCAAATGATATTGGAAAAGTAAGAAGAAGTAATATGCTTCCAAATGAGTGCGGACAGTCTAGAATTTGATGACCTGAAGTACTTTTAAACGATGGCTAAAAAACCCGTAAAACAGCATCTAAAATTTGCATATTTTAGCCGCTAACGGTCGTCCAGCAATAAAATGCTGGGAATGGCCGTAAAATAAACAATTTCCTCATTGTAACTGCAATTTCGTTATTAGGATGGATAGTAGTGTTGATGATAAAAATATAAGGCAAAAGGTTTTTCGAGTCCGAAATCGAGGGGAACGCTTTTAGGGAGACTGCCTCTTAAAAACGCCGTCGTCATTCGAAATTTATCCTTGTAAGTCTTCGCCATTCATTCAGCGATGAGGGAACCTTTTCTGTCAGAGCGCGTGAGAAAGCCATGGAAACAGCTGATTGACGTCCACGAAAACGCAGGTTTCACTGAGAGAAGAAAACCCTTTGAGGCTTCGTGTTAGTAGTAACCGCTGTAATGACTATGCCACAAAATAAGCCTCCCTTCAATTTCCATACGAAATAGCCCACAGCTTCCTCTTTGGGGTGGAACTGCTCCCACCTACGCAGGGCCTGGTAGCCCGTTTCTTTTTCTATTTCTTCACCGTCGCCACGATGCGGTTGTTGGGGGGCGTTTTTTCGACGGTGTGGCCGATCGGACGTTTTTGTACCCACCCTCCTCGCCCCAGACTTCTCTAACAAAGAGAGAAATCTACAACACGAGCCTTTTGGCCGAGCCCTCCTCACCGGAGGTGCACGAAACTCGGCCGCGCACCGACACAATTTGGGCTTTCAGGAGCAGCCCGTAGACGTAGAAATCATCGACAAACACCGACAGCTCCTCCAAGGGTTCGACCTTTCTTCGCCCCTGGTGCCCAGCCAAATAGTCGACGCCTGCGATATCGGGAATCCAAATGCTTTCCCAACGTTCTCCTGCAAGATGTGTTTGGCGACTGCCTTCTCGCTTCGCAGTCCCATCTCTTCCAAAGTAGCCCTCCTCGCTTCCATGGTGAGTGCATGTAAAGAAGCTGAAAATTATATGTCTAATTGGCGGGCAACTTGGCAACTCAGTAGCCGAAAGGGTTAGTAGCCTTTACAAAAATTCCCTCTCTGACTGCTCGTTATCCGGCTTGCACCGCAGCCTATGCAAAAAATTTGTTCGCGGTGGCCACCACTGCAAACAATTTCGGAGTATTTTCTGTTTCTCTCGGGGGCCAGAATAAACCCGTTTTTGTGGGCTCAGACCGGTCGTTTCCATAGGCAGCCAGGGGAAAGCGAGTAGACTTTTCGTAAGCAAAATGAACTCCACTTTTTCAGAGAACGTTATGGCTGTATAGTATCTTTTCTGACCTCATCCTCACCCGGTTCGGATGAGGTCAAAAAAATAAAAATACAGGCAAAACGCTCTCTGAAAAACTGGTCCATTTTGATCCCGGATATACTACTATTAGCTTTTGTATATTAATCTTGAAATAATTGATCCATATTGTGTAGGTTTTAGTGCTAAGTACGATCCAATGTGACTGTGTGAGCATACAGCCACCTTATTTAATGATTTGTAGTTGTACATTCTTCGCGAAAACATTCATCCATTCTGTTAACTAGGATGTAGTGCTAAGTATCATCTAACGTGACTGTGTGAACAGGGGCCATACAGCCACCTTATTCAATGATTAGTGTTTGTACATATCTCTTGAAAACATTGATCCATTATGATAACTATCCAATGTGACTGTGTGAACAGGGGCCATACAGAATTAGTGTTGGTAAATTCCTCTTGAAAGCATTGATCCATTATTATAACTAGGTTTTAGTACTAAGCATAATCCAATGTTACTTTTATAAGCAGCGGCCATGCCGCCTCCTTATCCAATGATTTGTACTTGTACATTCCCGCTGAAAACGTTGATCCATTTTGGTAACTAGGATGTAGTGCTAAGCATAATCTAACGTGACTGTGTGAGCGGGAGCCATACGGCCACCTTATTCAACAACTAGCTCTCTAAGTATGATCGAACGTGGCTGTTTGAGCAGGGGCCATACAACCACCTTATTCATTATTTCAAACTTGTACATTCCTTCTTTAACATTGATCTATTTGATAGCTAGGATGTAATGCTAAGTATGATCGAACGTGGCTGTTTGAGCAGGGGCCATACAGCCACCTTATTCATTATTTCAAACTTGTACATTCCTTCTTTAACATTGATCTATTTGATAGCTAGGATGTAATGCTAAGTATGATCGAACGTGGCTGTTTGAGCAGGGGCCATACAGCCACCTCATCCATTAATTTTAACTTGTACATTCCTCTTGAAAACATTGATACATCTTGTAAGTAAGTAAGTAAGTAAGTAAAGACTTTATTTTATGAGGGTTAGCACGAAATAGCCGGGGCTAATAAACTTGTGGCCCCCTAAATAATAAATAATAAAATAATAAATGAGTATACTAAGCTATGAAAAAATACAAGATTAAAACCAATTAAGAATACAGATACTATAGAATCTACTAAATTATTTAAAAGATAAAATATAGCGTTATAATAATCTCACAGTTCATCAAGTAACTTAAATAGAAAAATGATCAAGATTCTGCTGTTGTTTAAAAAATTCATTCCACAATGCTTTTTTTAAAGAGTCAACTGAGTCCCTTTGCCTTACAGGCAAAGATAAGCTGTTCCATGCTTTGCAAGTTGTTACGGTAAAAGTTCTGCCTCCTTCTGTTTCGCGATTATACCACGGAGAGGTTAGGTTAAAATTACAGTACCTGGTTTTTCTACTGTGGATGTTACTGTTTAATTTAAGTAGATCGTTGAGATAAACAGGGACGTCACCTTGTAATCGCTTATAAGCAATGATACATTTAGATATGAAAGCGTCTTTATAAAAAGGCAACCATTTCAGCCGATTAAACAAGGGAACTGATGGTGCTTGAGGGGGGGCATTCAGGATTACTCTAGCTGCTCGTTTTTGGAGCTTCAGGACCCGCCCAAGGCTTTCCTTATTACAATTAGTCCAAAGGACGCTTGCATAATTAATCACTGGCCTGATCAAAGCATTGTAATAAAGTAATCTTTGTTTAAGGGGCAGATAATTCATAATTTTCTTTAACAAGCCGATGCGCTGTGAAACTTTCTTACAAACAGTCGTAATATGCTCAGAGAAAGATAGCTCTTCATCAATCTCAAGACCTAGTAGCTTAACGTTCATAACGTTAGTTAATAAACTGCCATTGCAAGTAATCTCAGGGTTATTGTTTATTTTGGTCGAGAGTCGCTTTCCCTTCACGGTGAGGACCTTGGTCTTTTTTTCCTTGAGTGGATAATTCGTCAATTATCTGTATGAGAGCGGTGTCTGTACTGTGATTCTTCCGAAAACCAGACTGGCGAGGATAAATCAGATTGTTCTCAGTTAGATAACTGTATAAGGAGTCATGCACATGTCTCTCGATAACTTTAGAAAGGACAGGTAGCACAGATATTGGTCGAAAATTAGGATTTAGTGTTATTTGTTTATTTTTCACCTAGAATAACTATAACAGAAAGAAAAAGAAAAAAATTACTAAGATTGCAAATTAACAGGGCAGGAAGAGCTACAATAATAGTTCAACATTAAATGTTATATTAAGTGACTTCACTCGGGTGGGGGCTGCCCTGTCACTCATTCCTCGCTCCGGGCTTTGGCGGGTGTGCCCTCACCGTTGCTGGGATAATCTTCTTGTGTATCCGGATTTTCCTAACTGTATATACTTAAATTAAACGGCCACTCCTGTGACCAAACATGGAGCATAAATAATTTTATTAATGAATTTATTATCCGAGTGTGACTCTTTTCATCAAAGTTTTAAACCGGAATCAAACTGCATCTTTCTTATATGGCATGTGACATCATAGTTGACAGGATCATACTTAACTTCAGACGACACATGAAGCTCTAGTAATTACCATTACGGGTGCGAGGAAGTTTGAGCTCATAAATCTCTTATGTAAATTTTAATATCATCTGAAACACATGCCTTTGATATTTCAAACGTCAAGTATTTGGAACTTTGAGCTTTTGAAACGGCGGTATTGGGGCCTAACATAGATGTAGTGTTATACATGTATATATAACAACTATTGAATTAGGTTCAATATAACGAAAACAACTATGCAGATCGAGAAAATGTTGTCCACCGAAGGAGGTAGCAGCCTCCGTGATCTGCAAAATTATTCACATCATACGAATCCCGAATTCAATAATTGTTTCATTATTCATTTAAAATATTTCTAAGTTCTTTTAAACCGTCCTGAGAAACAAAAAAACAAGCTTACCTCCTCGTGGACTTTCTTCAAAACTTTGGGTTATTTCTCAGCACGGTTTTAGGTTATAAACAGATTTTTTTTTATTTTGTAGATACTGCTCAAAAAGTAGATAGCATCCATCGAGCAATATGTTTTTCGTATTTTTGCATTTCTTCCTTTCATTTTTAGTCAGAAATTCATCTGTTTCGTCCTCGGATAACCGTGAACGCCTACCGCCCCTGGAAATTTGAGGGTTGATCGATGGGATATTTGCCTGGAAACGCTGCTTGCGCAATATAGTATCGAATCTATGGTATATTGCTCGCTCTTCCAAAGTTGGTCAACGCAGCTGGTTATGAAGAATTGGTCGGGGGATGTGAGCCTTCAGAAATGAAGAAATATTTTGAATGAAAATATTAAATCAAGAAAAGTTATTCAAACCAGTTCGGAATGTACCGTACAATTCCGAAAATGAGCCCCGGGGCTTATATTTTTCAAACGCCCTTTTTGAGGAGCTTATTTTTGGAGGGGCTTATATTCCGAGGGGCTTATCTACGGAGGGAAATTTGCGTGTCAAAATCGATTGGGCTAGCCTTACAGTTAGAAGTAAATTTACCATTTTTGCTTTGTTTTACTTTGTATTTGAGGGCAATTTTCCTAGTACAAGCACTGCGGGGCTTATATTTGGAGGGGCAATTTAACGGAGGTTTTTTTTTGCGTTACCGGTTTGGGGGGCTTATATTTGGAGGGGCTTATACATGGAGGGGCTTATTTTCGGAATTTTACGGTATATTTTATTACACGTAGTTCTTTCGTGAATTGTAATAATGTGGTGAATTTTAATACCAGTCGTAAATTGTAATAACAGTTGTCGAGAACTGTTATAACCAAGCTATCGTAAATTGTAATAACAAGTTGTCGTAATATGTAATAAGCCAAGCTGTCGTGAATTGTAATAACACTTTGTCTTATTTTGTAATACTTCCTGCGAAGGGCTTATCTATTTCTTGTCAATCAAAAACATTTCGTGACGTCAACATAAAGTAATTTTACAAAGAAGCGTATGAATTATCAGTTATCAACACGAAAAAGTCGCTATGCTCTGGTGTTAAAACAAGACTAGATAATATAGCCAAGAATAAGGCGCCACTGCGATATGTGGAGCAAGGGATGGCACAGTGGTGAGAGCGCTCGCCTCCCACCAATGTAGGAAAGTAAACAAAAAGAAGTAAACAGCTAGCATAGTGATGAAACTTTATGGGAAAAACATTTCTTGCCACCCTGTCGTGGTTGAGTGGTTTTCCGCAAAACTCTTTGTAAATTGTGACAATTTAAAACTGTTATAAAACCTGTCTTCAAGCACTTAGTGGGCTCTAATTTTCTAGGCCATTCCCGAGTTGCCTAAACTTCTGTTTCAAAGTAAGGCAAAGTGCCTAGTCAGTGATATGAAAATGATTTTGTTATTCTGATGTAAATGAAACTCATTATCACAAGAAAGGTTTTGCACTTAGCCTCGTTTTGAAAGTGAGAGTTTTGGGAACTTCGAAATGGCCGGTGAGCAATGAGCTCATGAAGAGGTGCATTGTGGGATTCCTGTGGAGCCTCCTTTAGTTATCTATGAGAGAGAACAGAACTAGCTTAAGGTGGCTCGATACAGTTTTTCAGGGCCAATACCTCCCAAGTTTGAGCATAAACTACGTCGCCATAAACAAAGTTTTGAAAAAATTGACGCCACAGTTGTATTAGGTAAAGATGAACATTTGGTATGATCAGGGTTGCAACGGCAACGGAGTTGTCATAGCAACGAAATGACGCTATTACCTATTTTACTTGCAGCAGTATATCTCGCCACTGGGAACTGTTCTTCGAAAATCATTTTCGAGAGCTTTTTCCTCCAATAGCAGCCTCGATCTTCGTGAAGTTTAAGCGAAATCTGTAAGAGCATTATCGAGATATTTTGGGATAAAGATTTTGTGGTTAGAAATACGGTAAAAATGGATAATCTTGGTGTTCGGCTGTTATCTGTAGAAAGCGAAGCGCTTTTGACATGCAATTTCACCTCATAGTAGTTTCAATCTATTTAAAAACGTGTGTGAAAGGTTAAGGAGATAGCTCCAGCAGATTGCTAGAAAGAAGGATTTGATTAGTGTGTATCGAAGCGCTCTTGTTAGCGGTTTTTTGAACATTTTGGCCTAATTTAACAAATTAGCGAATAATTTTTAAACCGCTCGATAGACTTTTTTAAAAAATTATCTTTCTTGAGATTAACCTTCCTTTTATATGACCTTTTAGTTTCAAGATTAGTGATATATTGTAAGGTAGTAAAATGGATGGAAGGATGGATGGATGGATGGATAGCCAATAGAAAACTTTATTAATGTGTCGGAGCCGTAATATAAAGCTTGGGAAAAACCCTATACTGTATATTATCTTTGTTACTATCACTAATTTATATTATTTAATTTGTCGCTAGTCTGAAATACATGTCTATATGCTTTTATACTTAGGGCTTTTTATGGACACTGGTTTAGCCGTCATTAGTATAATTCGATTATATGATCTTAATATCTCTGCATAATGGAATTCTTTATTTTACAGAATTTTGAACTTTTATTATTAATTATATCTATTTCCTCTTCTTTTATGTAAGGTTAAGTTACTTCTATTTTTTTAGAATTTGTAAATGAATAGTTTCTTTCTTCACTTATTACTTCGGCGGAGCGCGAAGTAAAGGTTTCGCGACGCTCAGGAATGTATCAAAGTTACAATTTTTTGACAAGATTGGGCATGCAAAGTCCGTAGGCTTTCGGTTTTATTCGGCTATTTGACGAAGTGAGAGCCGAATTAATTCGAGATATCTCGAGATCACTGCGATTTCTTTGATTTATTCTTTAACTTTTTCGAGGAATAAAGAATTATTATTTTGGCTTTCCCGGGGTTTGAACCGACTCACCTGTGTGACCCGTCAGATCAGAGGAGACTCTAAGTTGAGGGATTAGCCGATTGCGCTACTGCGACCCAAGGTAGTTTGGGATATGAAAAATAGTTATGAAATGATGCACTAGTTTCGGGACAAGATTGGGCGTGCAAGTTCGTGACTTTTCGGCTTGTTTCAACTATTTCACGAAATGAGACCGGACTACTTCGTGATATCTTGAGATCACTTCGAGTTTAGTCTTCAATTACTCGAGGAATAAATAGAGGATATTTCGTGGCCGCGCAGAGACACGAAATTTCTCTTCGAGTGTTGAAAAACATTTCACGAGTGAGCCCTCCTTTCGAGCTGTTTTATGATGAATTTAAAGTTACCAAATGCTGCAAAAAGACATTTTGTCCTTGTTGAGTGTTACGTAGTAAAATTGCTTTCATGCGTTGCGTGACTTTCTCGAACGTTCTCTACGTTTTTGGATTATCTATGAATAATTAATTAGGGCATGCTTACATTTCAGCATGAGTCAGCAGATTTGCATCAGTTACTGAAATCATAAAATATGTCGAAAAGCTACTACTATTCGCCTGCTGTTTAGTATTTTCTAGAGCCTTATGTCAAACGGTATACAAGTTCCAAGCGAGTTCTTTTGAAGAACTAAGTTTTTTCCCACGAGCTGGACTGCTGTGTTTAGTCAGGTATTGTGTTTACAAGTTCGCGGAAGCCGTAAGATATCTGAAGTTCAAGAGAGTTTGTTATTGTTGGTAGAGGCTGTTTAGTTTTACTCAAAGTTCAAGTCAAGTTTGTGTTGGTGGATGCTGTGTTTTAAAGCTCTGTAAAGGCTATGTTCCTTTGTTGTTAAACTTCCTTGTGTTAATCCGACATCCCTGCATGCTGATAGTCAGTCAATAATTATCCTCAAAACATTCGAACTCGTGACTTTGAGTTTTAGCCAATTCCATGCTCAACGTAATTGACTCCTTACCCATGCCTTACATATCTTTAATCAGTACATGAGACTGCTATGCTGTTTTTGAAGCCTGATGTGACTAAGAAAAATAGAGAATTGTTTTTTTAGAAGGATTTGTATGGAGTCATCAGAGCATAACTGGGCTAATCCCGAAATGCTAGTTTTTGGCAAGTAGGCCTCTTGGATGTTGCTCTTTTCAGAATATCCTGACAAATCCCATAATTTCACAAATTAACACCTTACTCTTACCATATTTGATTTCTTACTATTCCTCCGCATTTACAATTAATTAGTTCCACAACCACGACGCCGAAGTGTACGCTCCCTAGCGTCTGGTTATATATAGGATTGTGATAGTATAGGATGAATTAATTAGATTTTTTGTAACAGCAGGTTGATTTTAAATAGGACTTTAATTGAGGTTTTGTAATAAAGATTTTAAAAACTAATATATACTACATGTATTAAATAATGACCGCAGTTTTTTGGAAGCTATACAGTTTGTCCTTTTTCTTGTGCTATGCCCTTGGCTTAGTGATGCTACTGTTGACTAACTCGATTCTTTTTGGTTGGGAATCTGTGCGGCGTTCGGTTGCCAATAAACTTCAACAGAAGCACAGCAATCTCTTCATCTTCTCTCTGAATCGTTGGTTGATTAGCGCGTATACAAATGGATTAACAGCGCGGTTGAACATGATGATGGTGTGAACAATAGTAAATATGACGGGACTGAACTTAAAGCTGGTTGTTTCCTCGACGGTGTGTAGTATTACATCTGGGAGCCAAGTGATACCAAATATGGCACTGACTGTTACAATCATTAAGGTCACTCGCTTTCTTACCCTCACCACACCCTGCGCAAGAAATCAGAGATTAAATCTGCAGGTTAAATATTATTAAAATTCACTGTAGTAGAAAAGTGTCTGTTAATATGAGATGAGGTGGCTCGTGTTACCCGGGCTGGCTCGTCTCATGCCTTGTTTCCTCTTTAAGTTTTCGTTGTGTTTATATGAAGAGGCATTGCCTAGATCTCGGCTAGAGCAACCGGGTTCTCGGTTAGCTGCCTTCTCATAATAACCACAATGAGAAAAAAGACAATTGAGCCGAGCTAGCGCTGTAAAGCAGGCCATCCCAGCTAACTGGGCTGTCTCACTTCATATATACAGACTTCAAGTAAAATAACTTTGTAAAGAAGCAAGATTTACTTTTGCGGCGGTGCCGTAGGTTTTCGCGGTTTGCCTTCCACCTCGCGCTTTGTATACTAGTTTCTGTTACCGTCGAGTGATATTAAAAGTTCACTTTTGTCACAAATCGTGTCGTCAATGTATCAACCATTTCCTGACAGAGTTTGGTTTACAGTTCGATTATTAAACAAGTATATAAATATTGCATCTATTAGTAACGGGGCAAACCATTTATAGAATGACTTTATTAAAACGGCCGAAACACCTGGGAAACAGTATCAAACAATTAGTGCCAAATAGTTACAAGTAAACAATAGAAAACAATGGCATTTTCAGCGTAATAGTGCGTAGTATTCTACAACGATCTATTTAATGGGTAATTGTCTAAAATCACTTTGGCTATAAAGACAGAAATAAAGTCAGATGAAAGAAGGCGATTAGAATGTTGAGTACTAAACCTTATCAGAAGAGCTTAGACCCAAGAATAATTCTACGGTTTAACGTTTTGACGTTATAAAGAAAATACCATTTGTCGATGCGTGCGTTCAACGTTGTTACTCTTGGCCCACAAAGTGTACATGGCTCTGGAATATAACCCAATCATCACCGCAATGGAGATAACAACCATCGCAAACCATGAGAACATAGAACCGTCGCGTATCCAAGTTTTGTAGGAAAGCGGCGTCTTGGTGCAGAATTTTGAATCAAACTTCCTGAATTTCTTGTCCAATGCCATGTTTATTACTCCCGGAATTTTAGAAAGGAAAGAAAAGGCCCAAAAACTAGGTATAATGATCTAGTAATAAAACGTTAAAAACAACATTAGGAGAGAGAAGTTAATGTATCATCCATGTACCTAACTGCAGTTGTTGTTCAAAAGGCTACAAGTTCGGTGAACTAGGTCATAGGACGATTAATTAAAACTGCTTATCTCTCTGACAGTGGAAAAATCCTTAATTCATGCAAGAAATTCTGAGTGTGTGGAATTAAATATTTGGGTGAGGTGTCTTAAATGAAAGCTATTGAGCAGTTCTATACTATGGTACTACTCATTCATAGATACTGTACAGTAATTTACTTCAGTACATTTTGTTGCATCCAGTTGGGGATTCCTTAATGTCTAGCCTATTCCTACATGTTTTGAAATTATGAAAAGCTATAGTCCTAAAAGCAAGATGACTATCTATTGAATTTGTTGTGTTAGTTTATATTTACTTTATTTTTGAAGTCTTTGGTATGATTTTACCAGAGCGGTGGCTTATTGTTAGGTTAGTATGAAATTGCAACATACCTTCAGTCTCCGCATGGTAAGATTTGCTTTGCTGCCATGGGGGCATACAATGCGTAAATATCGCTCTGTTGCAATAGAAACCAGAGTCAAGACTGAAGTAGTAGCACCGACCCATGCAAAGGTTCCCTTTGAAAGTCCTAAGCACAACACCTTGCCACTTACTCCCCCTGGGTGACTGTGGCCCCAAGCCATGCGCGGTAGAGGGATTGTTGTATAAATGATATCCGCCACTGCAAGGTTTACTAGTAGGTAATTTATGGGATTTCTGTGAAATTAAATGATAAAGTTACTCAACGTATTGTGATGTAGTCGACTTTGTCACATTTTAAGGATTAGCCTTTATACAAAAAGGACAGGAAGAACTTGGAAAGCGGGGAGACATGTCTTTTAAATCGTGATGTTATCAAACTTTGAATAGAGTGTCATCATAATTAAGTTTCGTGCCTTATGTAGATCATCAGTTGGACTCATAACGGACAGGTGCGATAATTCCGCAAGACAAATCGAATGTTAAAAACATATACGGCATCAAGGGGCTAAAGGGAGTAGGTAATGTCTCTGAACAGGTATCTACCAGGCAACCATGTATTTACCTCATGTCACGATTCTTCTTAATAACGGCACAAACAAGAGAGTTTCCTACGATACTTGTGATGATAAGCACTGACGTTACAACTGTCCCAGCGATTTCAGCTGATTCCGACATGACTATGTCAGTGTTGGTCACGATAACTGAAAGTATTATGTATATAAAAAAATGCATACATATTTCGCTGTAGATCTATTTAGAACCCTTTACATCAAAAGGAAGACCATTGGCAGGCCCGCTCACCCTCACCTAGAGTCTTTACGTCAATCCCGTGACTGTAAAGGGACTTTTGAACGGAAAAAGGCTCTTCATGCTCTATATACAAGGGGCTCCGCATCAAGACAAAGATTACAAAGAAGAAGCAAAATTATAGAACGTGTTTCTTCTCAATTTTTTCCTCTGGTTTTCCTTTTTACAAAGTATCTTTGTTACCATGTTATACAAGTTGATAAAATGTACCAAATAAGTAAATAAATAAATGTTTTTTCTCCTCGCTAATTAGCTGAACAAATTGCTCTTCAAAGATGGGAACGAGCGAGGGTGCCCTTGTACTGAAACGTAATTTTACCACGAGCATTTTTAAAAATTGAAACGATAAGTACGATTTTGTATAAATGATGAATAAAGAAATCAGCGGCTAGTTTAGTGGACTAACTTTTTTCTAGCAAAAGTCAGAAATAAACTATCCTCATTACCTTGCGGTCTTTTCTTGAAGCCTTTTTGCTTTTCCTCCAACAACGTTTTTTGAAATAGCTGTATGCTTAACGGATACTTATTAAAAAGCAAGCTAACAACCAAGCAGACACAGGAGGCAAATTTAATTGCATTAGGCTTCCAAAATTTATCATCGCTAGCTATTCATGAAGAATTAACCGGAGGATTTCAGTCAATCACAAAACGGAGAAATACTTTGAATGAATAATAACGCAAATTAAGAGGGAGTCTCCTTAAAACCGGTCCACTGCGTTTCGGGTCAGAAGATCAATTTCCTTTAAACTTTGCCCATGAATATATCTTAGTCCAAAAGTAATTGAACCCGCATCAGTTTTTGAAAATATTTCAAATAAAATCTTTCGGGAGAAAAATCACTTCAGCTTCCGGCGGCCAAATTTTTGCAGTGACAAAGAGTGAAAATAGTGCATATTGCCGAGTTCACCACTTCAAAGTTTTGCACTTTCAACGATTTTTTTCACTTCCTAGGATTAAATTGGTCTTTAAATGATGTAAAGCACACAATTTTGGTCCTTAAAAGCAACTCATGTCTACTAAATATTTTTTGATTTACACCCACTTTGCCGTAGGCGGGAAAGGGCTCAAAAATGCATATTTTCATCCTAGCACTGTGCAAAATCCCCACATGTTCTAAACAAATTGTCTTTTCAGACCAACAAAGGGAATGTCCAAAAACATAGAAACATAAAAATGTGTTGTGATTTTAACGATTTATCAGCACAGCCGATCGACGAAATATGCCTATTTTCTGTTATGACTGTTTACAACACACGATGGAAGGTCTTAATGCAAACCCGCAATAACACATTAATTCAGTCAATGTATCAAGTATCTTTTGACACAAGAGAACATCATTTAGGAAAGGAAACCCTTTAAGCCAAACGCATTAATACTACAGGTGTACCTGTTTACAGGGTTAGTATCTCATGTAAGACCCGCTCGAGTCGTCTTCGCTGTGTACATAAAACTGATATCACATGATGGCGCTTGTCACGCATTCCTATGTCTGGAATCGTTACGCCGTGAAAACATATTTTGCTAGTCTGACTAAAATTGAAAGGCAGGAAATTATCTTATCGATAGAGTATTCTATTATATTTATTGCTGTTTCGTTGACGAGCTACAAATCAAGAATCATGCATGCATAAGTGCCTATAGTGCATTAACAACCCGGGGAGGGGGTGTGGGGGTACTTGGGTTCAAGTTTGCTAAGGGTTCCAGGGTCCCAGCGGCACATCCCCAACCCCATTATAGTCTATTCTGTGGTCAATTATAGACCCCATCTTAGCCACTTTTGGGCAAATATGTAATTTTCGCGATCCCAAATTAGTCACTATCTATTTTTAAGAATTGACCCTTTTGTTAGATTGAATGAAGAACACTTTACTTTTCATCTACAGTTCAAACATTCTTGTACGTTTGCTAACCGTAAATATAAAGAACTGTCTTACCCCCAAAATTCATTTGGCACAAGAACCTCGAAATCTCATCTTCTTCAAAAGGTAACTGAAATGGTTGTAGAGTGCTCTTGTGTAGTGAAAAAGACTGTTGGAAAAGACGTGAGAAGAAGGAAAACGACTCTATCTCGGTGAGTTTGTACCCAGCATATTAAATTACTCACTTTTCTTCCGCGGGCTCACTGTGAATTCACTGCCCTTCAGGGAAATCGCTGGCTTAATATGTGCATTTCAGCAATAACGGGACAGGAATTTGAAAATATGGCACTATTAATAATTAACAACTTTTCCTAATAGAGAATGAGTATTAGCGAAGCTCTCGCGCGTGAGAAAGAAAAAAATGGTAACCTGTAGACGCGACAAAATTTGGTAATCACTTGATCGTGCGTTCGGCTGTTCCCCCCTTATAACACTGCACTGACGCCGATAACAGAGAAAGAGCTAGAGCGCAAGAGAAAACAACAACAAAAAAAAAAAAAAAAAAAAAAGAAAGGAGACGAAGTTCATTGCGGAAGACAAAAACATGAAAAATTCAAAGCTGCGATGAGAAAATGACAAATGTTAGCGGCCAGCAAGGTTAAAATGAGCGGCAGTGAAAAAAAAAAATGGAGCGTAGGAACATACCTCCTTGTATACGATTTTTCCTCCAAAAACGTGCAACTAGGAAGTTTAACGTACGTTGAAGTCGTACTGCAAAACAATGGCAAAGAAATGTACAAACAAATGTGCTGCACTGCGTGCAAAGTTCTTTATCGCTCTTAAGCCCTATTGATTTTTTTTGCGTTTCTCGTTGCCGTCACCGGTTAGCATTACACGATTTTTATTAATTTTTTTTTTCTGGGGTACAGCTTTGAGTATATTAACAAGTCAGAGCTGCGCGTTTAGCCCTGGCTAAAACTACTAGTGATTATTAGCTAGTGTACAAGATATTAGTCAAACCAGAAACGGAAGGAATAGAGTCAAAATCGATAGCGCTAAACGAGGTAATACAGGGTAACCTAATTTCAAAGATACAGTATTTGTTCTAGAATAATAGCAAGGGGATGTTTGCTTCCGGGACACTAGACTGTTCACTGTCCCTTATCTTTCTGTAAAATCGTCCAGATGTGCGACCTTCTTGGGTCCGCAGCCCCAAAAGTAGATTTTATAGTCATCCCCAAGCTAAACCCGGTACATTTGAAACCCAGATGGCCACCTATTAAAGAATGTGCTTGATCCCGACTAATTTACGGAAAATAGAGGACTGTGAACAGTCTAGCGGGCCTCCTGCCAGCAAGCACACTCCACCCCTATCCCCAGCCCCACCCTGAGTCGGGGAGTTTGATAAGACCTGAAAACCAATTGTTTTATATATGCTAACCTTAATGGACAGGAGCCTGTTCCTGGAAAACTAAAAAGTTACTATTGTTAATGCACTAGGCACTTGTGCATGCATGATTCTTGTTTTTGTAGCTTGTCGACGAAAACAGCAATAAATATAATAGAATACTCTATTGATACTGAGATAAAGCAAAAAATGTTTTCGCGGCGTAACGATTCCAGACATAGGAATGCGTGACAAGCGCCATCATGGGATATCAGTTTCGTGTACACAGCGAAGACGACTCGATCGGATCAAGCGCTGTAAACAGGTACAACTGTAGTTGGCCGGCGTGTCCAGAGAAAAGAGCAGAGTGGCACTCTTCGACGACCCTCGCTTTCTCTTCCTCGGTGATAACAAGTCGTCGAAGCGCTGTGCCATCCTTGTCCTTGTCCACGTAAAACAAGGACTCTAATTTTGAGTCATGCTCGAACTTTTTGGCAAATTTTCGCAGAGTCGTTTTTTGCTTTGTAAAGCTTTCCGGATAAGCCTTCTTTTTAAGATACTGGAAAAGATTTCTATATTTAGCGGAAGCCATCTCTAAAACGTTTTCGATTTTCCCGCGAAATCCAGCATTTGTTTGGAGGGGATGACCAAAACACTAGGGATTTGGGCATCCCGGGAGGGTACCAGGGGATGCCCAAAACGCTGCAGTAATATGAGAAGGGAATGCCCCAAACCCTAGGGATTTGGGAATGGGGATGCCCAAAACGTGGGGATGCCTGAAACGCTGTGAAACCGGTTTCCGAGATGAGAAAAGGTCAAAGATCCTGGGTATGAGTTCTGGCGCCAAATTTGGGAAACAAAGCAAACATAGCGAAACACAAAAATTTTAACTTTCGGGCCTATCTTAGCATCGGTCCTCTTAAAGCTGTATCACTGCAGTTAAATGGGATGCTTATGATGTGGAAAATACAGCAGGCAATGCAAGACGATGCCATCCGGACCGCCAGAATTCATCCCGCCGTTCATCCCGGTAACCGGGATGAAGTGTTCATATGGCAAAATTTCCAGCCCGCTTACCGAGATCTCGGTTGGAAAAACCGAGATCTCGGGAACCGAGCCAGCCCGCCCTCTCATATGAACACATCGAAAATTTTACAAAGGATTTAGAGGTGAGGCGAGATCTCGGAAACCGGGCCAGCCCAGTCAACCGGGCTCATATGAAGAGGCCCTCGGTTTTTCCAACCGTCTCGGAAACCGGTTTCACAGCGTTTCAGGCATCCCCACGTTTTGGGCATCCCCATTCCCAAATCCCTAGCGTTTTGGGCATCCCCTTCCCATATTACTGCAGCGTTTTGGGCATCCCCTGGTACCCTCCCGGGATGCCCAAATCCCTAGTGTTTTGGTCATCCCCTCCAAACAAATGCTGGATTTCGCGGGAAAATCGAAAACGTTTTAGAGATGGCTTCCGCTAAATATAGAAATCTTTTCCAGTATCTTAAAAAGAAGGCTTATCCGGAAAGCTTTACAAAGCAAAAAACGACTCTGCGAAAATTTGCCAAAAAGTTCGAGCATGACTCAAAATTAGAGTCCTTGTTCTACGTGGACAAGGACAAGGATGGCACAGCGCTTCGACGACTTGTTATCACCGAGGAAGAGAAAGCGAGGGTCTTCGAAGAGTGCCACTCTGCTCTTTTCTCTGGACACGCCGGCCGCGATAATACTTTTGCACCCTGTGAAGGTTGTTCCCAAGGTGTGGTACTTGGTCGGAATTAATAGAAGCCCCTTCTACATCCCAAAACGGCAACAGTTTTCTTCTGTCCCGTAGGTACAAGAGGCCTCTGTATAAATTGTGTGACAGCCTTTCGTGTGTCAAGTAGCGCTGCGGGGTTAAGTTGTACAGGCCTCAAATGTCATGCATACTATGAATTCAACGCGGCAAAACGCAGTTTTATTCATGTCTGTCTTTTGATTGCTTTGTTTGGTATTCTTGTTTTTGGCTGTTTGGAATCAGACGATCGCAGCTGCCGCCGATTACGGCATTGCTCGCTTCTTAACAGTTCTATTAAATAAAATTGAAGCTTTGCAAACAATGAAGCGTTGTAGAGCGAGGCGATGTTATGCGGTTGTAAATTTCAGTTTCGTCATGTTTTGAGCCAACGTTTACTGCCTATGGGTTTTTTTTTCTGCGCAATAAACCCGGCGAAACGGTGTCAGACGATATAATTCTAACATGCATCTACACTATTCAGCCGTAAGTTTGTGACTGACAATCCTGACTTTTCCCCAGTCTGAAATAATTTAGGCAAAGTCGAAGCGATCATCGTTTTGGGGATGCCCAAAACGCTAGGGATATGGGAATGTGGATGCCCAAAACGCGGGGATGCCCATATCACTGTGACACCGGGCTGAAATTTCTCATATGAACCCAAGGCAAAATTCATCCCGGTAACCGAGCCGGCCCGGTCAACCGGGCTCATATGAAGAGGCCCTAACTCAAAACTCTCCTTCTGCAATAAAAGGCCTACTTTTCGATCAGCATATTTTTGCTAAATGGAAGAGAAAACCTAGCTACACGAGCATGATAAAACAGAAGCTGCAGTAATTAGCATCGCGAGCGATAATTTGAAGCAACTCGTAATATCTCACCGTATATCATATATCATATTTATATGTATGTAGTTTACTGCATATGAGTTTATCTTATCTTATGATAAGAAAACTGTACACCCATCGTGGCTAATCAAAAATTCTACCCATAAAAGTATACTGGTAAATTTTTGGTTTCTCGAGTGGTCAGAAGTGACACGTAACTCGCAATTCCAGGTCGAATGTATGGATCCAGTCTAACCGGCCCTTTACGTTTTGTATACATACACTATTTGCATTTAACGTCCAGATTTTAGGCTCTTTTGAGATTTTTTAATGATAGAAATGTCTATTTCCTGCGTCTTGAACTATCACGTCAAATGGATACCGCTCGTAGCACTGTCAACAAGAGCGATAGTCAATAGAACGCTATATGACCTATATCATATTTTCAATAACTGAGGAAATTCTTCGATGTAGGTTACCGCACGACACATACTAGCAAACCTTTTTGTACGAACTTATCATTAAGATCTGCCAAATTATCGAAGATAATACACAGAAAACCTTTATTTAATGTCGCCCTCTGGAAACTTTGTTTTTAACACACATACAATTTCTTAAACGTTTGAGTTGAAAATTATCATCAACCTTCGCTTTTGCCCGAAACTGAGTAAAAGGTAAGCGTAAATATATTGTTCGCAATTAGACATTTTAAAATTGATAGAGCGCTGCACCGGTATCGCAGAGGTCAAGGGGTCGAATCCCGTAGAAGCCTGAATTTTTTCAGCCTTTCTTTTCGCAACAGCAAAAGTAGCGTAAGTAACTGCGGTGATCATCCTTCTTTTAATTCTTCACTTCGCAGTTCACATATATGATTTTCACATATTCATAACTTCAAACAGTGTATTTGTTATTCAAATGTAGAACGAGTGAATCAAAAGAATCTTTGTTTAAACAATCAATGGGCTGGCACATTAATATTAGAAGGTGACGTCAACGTGAGAATCGCTATAAAAAATAAATGGACATTGAGACTTTTACTCAAATTCAGACAACGACAGCCAGCCAACAATAATTGTTGGCTGTCCAGACCCTTAATTACGACGTTGTCAGAAGGATCCATTGCTCCAATGGAAGTTTCATATGCAAAAGCCACACCATATTGCAACAGAAGGTGAGAGCAATTTTTTTGTGTCAAGTGGGGATTTACGCTTTCAGCTTATCGCTGCCTTTCCTTATAAAGTCGATCATTTTTAGCAAAAGCATGAGGCCTCGTTGCTGCACTTCTTGTAGAATGTAAAAAGTTTCACGCATGAGTCACGCTTGAAAAGTTTGACCAAACCCAAATGTGTTAAGTTGTCCGATTATACACGTTCGTACCTACGTTTGGATGAAAGAAAAATGTCGACATCAATTGCAAAGAAATTGTAGTGTAACGGTAATAATTCTTTAAAAAGGGGTCTCCGCGCGCTAAGCGTTGCTTTTACTAAGTAATCTGGGTTAATCATCAAACGACGAGAAGTAACAACTAAGAGAAGTTACCTGATAGTCAAGGATGGCACCAACTTCGCGCACTGCCTTCCATTAAAATGAGGGACAATTTGCTCAATTAGACAATTATTACAAAAAGGAAGGAAGAGGCTGCGATAACTACATCCCTACATATGTCATTTTATATACCAGGATTTTAAAAACCATTATGTGTGGATCTTTGCATCAGACATACTCATTTCGTTAATTGTTTAATCTGTAACTGGTGTTTGTTATTCTTATTTTGGCTATAGTTGCGTGACAACCAGTGGATTGTGCTCAAGACATGTATGAATAGTAAATTTTTAAGTTTGCGAGATTTTTTTTCCCCATTTAAAGTTGTTTTCTTGATTGTTCCATTGAATCGCGTTCTGTAACTACGCGCGGAAACATGGCCCCTAAATTTTCAAAAGCTCCAAGAAATACATATTTTATTGCATTGTCAGAAAAATGGACACTTTTTTTATTTTTGGTTTGATTTTAGCTTTTTTTTCATGGGAAAATTATACCAGCTAAATATCGTTTCCATAGGATCTTCTTACAAGGCTATTGTGGAGCTTAAGCAAACACGACAGCAACTACTTAGGTTACCTTCACACACCACCGGAGACCTTAATAGGAAGATAGAGGCAGTAATAACTACATCCCTTCATATGCCATTATAAAGACAAGTCATTGAATCTATTATGAGCGGATCTTGCCTCAGATACATTAATTTGTTTCATTGCTTAAGCTAAACTGTTGTTTCTTGTTCTTATTTTGCTATAGTTGGGTAATAACCAGTGGATTTTACTCAAAATATATATGAACAGTCAAATTTATAGTTTGTCAGATATCTTTTCACAAGTTAAAGTTGTTTTCACAAGTGCGCCATTGCATTGCGTTATGTACTTACGCGAGGGAATCAAAATTTCATGGCCCCTAATAGCTCCAGAAATAAATAATACACCGCATTGTCAAAAGGTGACAAACTTAACATGTTTTTTGTTTTTACCGATTCTTGCAAAGTCTGCTCGACTTCCGAGACGGACTCTTTAGGTACCAGTTTCACAGGCGAAAACTTATACAGTTTTGTAACAGTAAAAGAAAGAAGGAACAACCCCCTAAAATCTTTGAAATCACTTTGTGCGTACGTGTAACCTCATTTTCCTCGACAAATTGAAATCCTAGCTATTTTTTCAGGGAAAAGTTATATTAGGTAGATATTCTTTACCTAGGGTCTTGTTATAAGGCTCTTATGGAGATCAAGCAATTACGATGGTATCGGCAGTGAAAACGTCACTTGAAAAGTAAGTTCACTTTCAGTTTCAATCGCTTTTATTTATCCTTTTTCCCCCCGTTTTTCAAATGTTGCCGAAATTTTCTTTTCTAGAATTCTATTGGACTGTACCCAAATCCTCAAAAAAAATCCTTGTGTTGTGATTTCGTCCTCCATAAAACGTGAAATTAGAAAGTCTCGCGTATTCATGGAATGAAAAATCGTGAGGCTCGTGCAAAGCTTTTCAGACGTTTCTCTGTTGATTTTCCAGTTCTCGTTGCTGTCGTCGCCGCCGTCGTTGCTAAAGCTCCTTGTTACGTTACAGCAGAGTGTTACCTTATGGCTTTGTAACTACTAAAGATTCAAATAAAGGTTGATCTACCTACTGTTTGGTCTCCTTTATGGATTCAGTTCCAGTTTTTAAACAATACTAACATTCTTCCAAATTGTCTTGTACAGTCTTTGTCTTATACGCTGGTGGACGGCCTATTTCGAGCCAGTCCCCGATACAGTCCTCTATGACTGGTGTAGTTATAATTAAATTTCGACCCTGCTCTCCATAGTGTCTCCAGTAGCTTAGTGGTTAAAGCGTCCGAATCAGTAGAACTCGGAGGGTCGTGAGTTCGCCGATTCTCACCTGGAGCTCGGAATTTTTTCTGAGCTCTCTGGTCTTAGAATTCTAAACATTATATTTTATAGTCTTGGTCTTGTACGCTAGTGAACGGCCGATTTCGAGCAAAGTACCCAATACAGTCCTCTATGACTGGGTTCTAGTAATTATAATTGAATTTTCACCGTACTTGAGGTTGAGCCTCCGTAGGTCAGTGGTTAGAGCATTCGAACTAGAGTTCGGAGGGTCGTCAGTTCGATTCTCATCTAGAGCTTTTTTCTAAAGCTTTCTATTATTCTTCTTCCAACTTATTTAAGTCATAAGAGACTTACGAGTATACAAAATTGGGCTTCCAGTGTAATCATTTATTGGAAAACTTCGTTATCTTCGTATTTACTGGCAAGTCTCTCTCACCATTTGTGGTTGTTTTTTGCAAATTTTATTTTCATTTGAACAGCATTAGCTAAGATAAGCATTGAGATAAACTTATTAGAGTGACAATTCGTTTGTTAATGTTGATGCACTTGGGGCTCAAATATGGGAGGGTTTTTGTTTAAGGTAGAACTGCTTTCTGGAGCAAGATTTTTCAAACAATTACCATTCTCATTATTAATTTTCTTACACTGTATGTTACATCATTAATTTACATTATAATAAATCAAAGTTTCTGTAGAAGCTATCCAGTTTCTCCCTTTTCTTTTTCTAAGCCCTTGGCTGCGTGATTGCTTTTGTTGACTAACTCGATGCTATGCGATTGAGAATTTGAGCGGCCTCTGGATTCCAATAAGCGTGAACTGCAGTACAGCATTCTCTCCATCTTTTCTCTGAATCGTTGGTTGATCAGCGCGTAAACGAATGGATTGACTGCGCAGTTGAACATGATGATGGTGTGAACAATAGGAAATACGACGGGACTGAACTTAATGCTGGTTGTTTCCTCGACGGTGTGTATCATTATATCAGGGAGCCAAGTGATACCAAATATGGCACTGACTGTTATAATCATTAAGGTCACTCGCTTTCGTACCTTCAACACCCCCTGCGTAAGAAATCAAAAAACACATTTACAGGTTGTAGGAACATTCGCTGTTTCAGAAAAACACTTTGTAAAGAAGCAAGATATACCTTGGGACTGTGTCGGCCAGCTTTGTTCTAGCTAAATGCGCCTATCGCGCTAGGCATTCTGCCTGGCGCCTCGCATACTCGCCTCTGGAGGAGGCAGCGCGGCCGAGTGGTCAGCGTTTTGGGCTCGCAATTCGGCGGTCCCGGGTTCGAGTCCCACTCTACCCACATGCCATGCTGGATTTGCTCTCGGTCGTCTCCAGTTCAGATCATCGCCCACACTTGTAAATGGCCAACTGGTTGCCTCTAGCCTGCGAGCAGGCTCACTTGTGCGAGCTAGCTCAGGTAGATTTTTTGCGGCCCCTTGCGTGAGGAAAAGTAACCTCTGATGCACTTGAGGATAACATCTGCACGTGCAAGTTCCTGTCATTATCTTTACATTTCCTTTGCTCCTATTGGATAGTATCGACACAACGAAAGGGGCGAAACTGAAAAATCAATAACCCGCGGGCAGGCTCACTTTTCCTGGCGCGATGGCGGAAGAAATTTTCCGGATTAAGCACAAGTGAGCCTACTTGCAGGCAAGGTAGTCTCCAATACCATTTTCTGCACTGAAGCACCAACTCCACTCTATGGCCATTACATTACGCATGCGCATAACCATATCACCCCGGCAGTGTCAGCCATGAACAGCTATTTCGTCCTCATTATTACTCATCAGCTGGCATAGTCCCAGGCAAGAGGTGTCACTTTTTATGCCAGGAGAAGGGCGACTGCCCATCCCATTTATTTCATTTCTAATGGGCAACTGATGTCACAAATTTGTATGACCAGCTAATTGATGGATACTAGGATGTTACGACGTCAGGGACTAGGCTAGTAAGAGGACTAAGTTTTCAACAAATGCACTAGATGTTTACCACTGAGCGAACGTAAAACATCAATGCGGGCCCAAGACTGGGAGAAGGCATATAAGTCTTTATATTTATAAGAATAACGAAACTGTCTAATGCTAAAACACTCTTTGGTAAGCAGACGTGAGAAATTCTGTAGATTGACAGTTCGACGTTTGTGGACCTGTATATTGCGGACAGTCCATATAGTATAAGGTGTAACATTAAATAAGATAGTTACAAATTCGAGTGAGGAAATCAATTTGGTACAAGTGTGGCTTACAGCATTAAGTGCGATCTACCAAATATAAGACAACTTTCCTAAACCTCCGTCATTCGAAAATTTCTGAATTTTATCTAAATCACCTCTAATACAGCCGAGATGTAAGCGTTTTAAAAGAAATAACGTAAACAAAATTTTGCCTTTTGAATTTATTCATAGATAGGTGTCCCCCGCGAGCTTAACCTTAACCTCTGTTACCATTGAGTAATATTTGAATATCAGCTCTGTGACAAGGCGTGTCGTGGACAATTTTCTGATTGGGATTGGTATATATTTGAATAATAAAACAAGCATTTTTTAAGTATCATCTTAGTTACAGATATATATTAATTAAACCGTGGAACAGTATCGAACAAACAGTACCAGATCTCATCAGAGGAGCTTAAGCCTAAGCGTTTCTATGCATTAAGGTTTTGATATATGACAAAAACCTACCTTCTGTCGACGTGTGAGTTGAAGGTTGTTGCTCCTGGTCCACAAGGAGTACACGACTCTGGAATATAACCCAATCATCACTGCAATCGAAATAACGACCATGGAAAACCATAAGAAAAAAGAACCTTTGCGTAGCCAACTTTTGTAGGAAGGCTGCCTCTCGGTGCAGAACTTTGATTCGCCTTTTCTGTATTCATTGTCTAATGCCATGTTTATAACTCCCGGGATTTGCGAAAATAAAGAAAGGACCCAAAAACAAGGTATAATGATCTAGGAATGGAATATAAAAACAACATTAGATTAAATCGAACTCTGCTAAGAATTTACATTTCATTTATTTACAAAGTTTTTACTTTGTGCTGTGCCACGCCGTTCTCCAAAGTGAAGCGTTCTGTGCCACAGGTGAAAAAGTAGGAGTGAGGACCGGATTGAGACGGAAGTAAATATTCAGTAGTGAGGACTACGATTTAGTTCACTAAACCCTCTCGGCCAAAAGCTAAGGCATGATGTTCCATGTGTGTGAAAGACTTGTTTTAGTTGTCTGCCATTGCTGTTCATACTATACCGGATAGAGCGGTTTTCACTTGACTGTCAAAAGTAATTGAGGAATTGGTTTGGTTTTGGTTTTACTACGCCCTTTGGTTGGCTAGTGGTTTTGGTTTTACGACAGTCAAGTGAAAACCGCTCTATCCGGTATAGTTAGAATATAGCCCTATTCATAGATACTCTACGGTAATTCACTTCAGTACATTTTGTTGCATTTGGTTAGGGCTTCTTATATTTTCCCTATTTCCTTATGCGCTGCTAATGCTAACTTATATTCCTGATTTGAGTTGAATGATCATTCTTTGAATTTTTTTTCAGCTTACTTACGTATCTTTGTTATGTACACTCTTTTTTTTTTTAAGAATATATTTTATAAGAATATCGAGGCTGAAATTTGCGAAATTTTAAGAATATTTTAAGAATAAAGCCGAGGCTGAGATTTTGAAAAGGATAGATATAATTTTGTGTGTTGAAACATCTGTAAATACAATACAATTTTATGTTTTTAACTTAACCATATAAAATTATTCTTTTCTCTGAACGGCGAAACTAGCCAACAAAACGAAAAAACCTGCCCTAGCTATAGCAAAATGTTCAACGCTAATGACAGTTCGATGAACGGTACATGTAATACATATACATATACCCAAATAAATTCTAAAACGGAAATGTCATAAGCTATAATTTAAGAATAATACAAGAATATTTTCAGCCTAAAATCGGCAGAAAAATAAGAATATTCAGCCTGGGCCGGAAAAACAACATTCTTATAAAAAAAAGAGTGTGTTTACCAAACAGCGATGGCTTATTATTGGGTGTTGAAACTGCAACATACCTTCAGTCTTCGCATGGTAAATTTTCCTTTGCCGCCAACAGGGTATATAACGTTTGAGTATCGTTCCGTGGCAATAGCAACCAGAGTTAAGACTGAAGAAAAAGCCCCGACCCATGCAATGGTTCCCTGTGCTATGCAAAAAACCTTGCCAGTCACTCCCCCTGGGTGACCGTTAGTGAGTCCCAACACCACGCCTGCTAAACTGGACGTTGTATAGATGATATCCGCTACCGCGAGGTTCACCAGTAAGTAATCTATGGGATTTCTGTGAAATGAAATGGTAAAGTTACTCAGCGCATTGTAACGTGGTATGTTACGGCATTTATCGAAAATCAATCAGGGTAAAGAATAACCTCTTCTATACCTCAGACCGTGACAAATACAAATTTTACAGAAATAAAATCATTTATCTTACGAGATTAAGTAAAGCGAACTACTACCAAAGTTTCTTTGATCTCAACATATGTAATATGCGTCAAACTTGGAAAGGAATTAACGAGCTAATTGGAAACTGTAAAAAGAAAAACAAGCGCAACTCAACTAACTCTATTCGCTCAAACCCGAATGAGGTTCCAACTAGTGACCCGAAGGAAATAAGCAATATCCTTAACAAATATTTCGCCACTGTTGGGAGCAAACTGGCTTCTAAAATTCCTCAGACCATAAATACATTCTATGATTATTTAGATCCGCCACTTAATCGCACTTTCTTCTTTGATCCTATTATTCCGGAAGATATCAATTTAGAAATTTCAGTTTTGCAAGACAACAAGGCACATGGTCTCTACTCATCTCAGTTAGGCTGCTGAAATTGGCAAAAAGGGTCATATCTGTACCTCTAGCCACGATTTTTAATCAGTGTATTTGCTCAGGGATTTTCCATCTAAACTAAAGTGTGCTAAAGTTATCCCGATATTTAAGGACGAAGATGACACGCTGCCCGAAAACTACCGACCTATTTCTCTGCTCGATTTATAACAGGATTTTTGAAAAACTTATGTACTCCAGAGTTACCAAGTTTGTCAAAGATTGTAACATTCTCTATGATCAGCAATACGGTTTTCGCAGTAAGCACAGTACTCAGCATGCTGTACTTGATATTGTTGACACAATTCTCCAAAACATGGACAACGGTAAATTTTCGTGCGGTGTTTTCATCGATCTCAAAAAGGCTTTTGATACTGTTAACCATGAAATTTTGTTAGCTAAACTTGAAAATTATGGTATTAGAGGTGTAATCAACTCCTGGTTCAGATCATACCTGACTGATCGGAAGCAAACTACGGAAGTTAATAATGTTGTGTCTGAGGCTGAAACGACCTTGTGTGGCGTGCCACAAGGCTCAGTCCTCGGACCACTCTTATTCCTACTGTACATCAATGATATTTACAAGTCCTCTTCGTTATTTGCCTTTTATCTATTTTCTGACGATACTAGTATAATACTTGCAAATAACAACCTAAAAGGAACTCAGAACACTTGTTAATCGCGAGCTTGGCAACGTCAACGAATGGCTAAAATAACAAACTGTCCTTGAACACAAAAAAAATCAAATTTTGTAATCTTTCGTCCCCGGCCAAAGAATATGCCCTTCATACCTAGGATTAGAATTTTTTGACTCCGTGACTAACACCTACGCAAACCTTGAAATGAAAGATTTATGTAAAATATCTTGGCTTAATGATTGATTCAAATCTTTCATGGAAGTACCACATCGAATCTATCTGTCACAAAATCAGCAAGTCGATAGAATTATAGCTAAGATTCGACATTATGTCCCGCGTCGTGTTTTACTTTCAGTTTACAACTCATTAATTGTCCCTTACTTGACTTATGGTATTTGTGGTTGGGGAAATTGCGCCTTGACATTTCAAAGAAAGATCGTAACTCTACAAAAACGGACCTTACGTCTCATCTACTTCAGTAAGTCTAAGGAACACGCCGTACCCTTCTTTCTCAAATCAAATTGCCTTCCCCTACCTGCATATTTTTTTCAGAGATTGTAGCTATTTATTGTATGATATCAACAGACAGACAGCAATTAGTTAGTATTCTCAATCAGTTCGTTAAAACAAGTCAGATTCATAACTACAGAACAAGATCTGTCTCTAGCGACTCGTTTTATGTTACGTTCTTAGAACCGATAAAATGTATGCCTTTTTTCACGAATCGAAAAGCTCAAATTTGGAACCCTATTCCGTATTCGATTAAAATACTTAAACGTTCGTCCTTTCGTAAAAAAATAAAGAAATTATTACTAAATTTTTTGCGGTCAGAAGATGATTTTGTCGAAGTCTCCCGTCTTATTAAGTTATTTAATACTTTAGGTTAGCCTCTCTTCGTAATCGTTATGTACATGCCTTGTTTTATGTTAGTTTAAATTCTATTTATGTATTGTAGTGTCTTCACTGTTATTTAGTCCATCTATATATAAATCTTGTTTTGTAATATGTCTTCAGCTCCCCCCGCCTCGATTAGTTCATAAGCTATTTGCGGGTGGGAAAGTAATGTAATTAGTTATTTTCCAATTTTCAATAAAATTTGTTGTTGTTGTTGTTGTTAAAAAAAAATGGCGATAAGAGGCGAAAGATTGGAAAGGAAGCAATCACAATTTCCCCCCCCCCCAAAAAAAAACAAAAAAAAAAAAAAAAAAAAAAAAAAAAAATTGGGAGAAAAGTTAAAAAAGGTGATTGACTGGCGAAATGAAGAAAAGTTTGGTGAGAGTTTCGAAAAATCTGGGGCTCCATAAATTGGGATTATCTACTGTTTATTTAGCCTGCAAAAACATCCGTTTCTCCTCGCTCTTCGCCGCTGGGGACCTTTCGAAACGTCCCCAGGGGCGAAGAGCGAGAAGAAACGAATGTTTACGCAGGTTACCGTTTATTTAAAAGTTGTTCGCCTTTCTTTTTATCAGTTGGACACGTAAATGACAATAAAGTGGCATCAAGTGGCTAAGGGGAGTTGAAAGTATCACTCCATAGCTTTCTACAAGGCGACCATGTATTTACCTCATGTCTCGATTCTTCTTAATAACGGCACAAACAAAAGAGTTTCCGGCGATGCTTGTGATGATAAGTATTGACGTTACTACTGTCACAGCAGTTTCAGTGGATTCCCACATGACTTTGTCAGTGTTGGCCGCGATAACTGAAATTAGAAGAAATATGTATTTTGCTAAGGACATTCCCATAACCCTTTTTCACAAAAAGAACGTTCAGTGGCAGCTTCCTTCTCCTTTCTCAGAGTTGGACAACCAACGGTGTTGCTCGAGTGAAAAATTTAAATTGAAGTTTCTTGTGTTCGACTTAGTACAAACTTTTCGGAGCTTTGTTTTATGCCTGGTCACGCTTTTAGTCATACCCCCGCTCCAAAAACAACTTAGTTATACGTAGCCTCCCACACAGGCGTTTTTAGGGGAGCTCCTTTCCCATTATTTCATAAGCGTAGTAAGTGACAAATTAACAGTTTTGAAATGTTTTTCGTCGCTAATGTTATGCAGTGCACGGAGTATTCTAAAATCTGTCTAAAATCTTACTTTTGGCACTCTGAGTCTAACATTTATTAGAGGTCATAAAGCTTTCGCCAGTGTTTCACGCAAATCGATTAATAATCGGGTTATCCTGCATACAATGTGATTGCCTAAGCTCGGGAAAGGAATGTTTTTCTCGGTTGAGCAGGCGTTTTTGGGGGGGGACGAAATACGACTCCCCTAAAAACGCCTGCGTTGGAGGCTAAGTTTTACATCTCTCACGTTTTATTCATGTTTTGATTGTCAGTTATGATTTTGCAAGGTGTTATGCAGCGTTTTTTTCCTTTCGCGGACTATATCAGAATGACGCGTAAATGAAATGTCTGAAAATGGATTAAGCATTGCGTGTAATCTTCACAAATTAACTAACATTGTTCATTTTCGCCGAAAAGAAATTACTTATACCATTTGTCTCATGTACTGTTATTGTTTTAACTTTGTTGTAGGGCAGATTTAGCCGCAATGTAATACTGTACACAACACGCAAAGGGCAGTTTGTGTACACAAAATTATGGTTATTCATAGAGGGAAATGTTAAATAGGTTATAAGTCTTCCTGGGTCTTTTCGCCAGAAGATACAAAAAGTATATTAAACTTACACCAGTTAAGGTTACTGAGTATCATATATTATGATGTATAATCGAAAAGGTAGTTTACATGTAAAGGTTTGTCGGTCCGATTTTCCCGCAAAGAAAACAAAATCGGCCTAGCTTACCATATGGGCAGAATCCCTTTCAGAGGGAAAGGTTGAACCATGAGCATAAACTGTGAACTGGACGCAGCCAAAGAGTTTCGTGAATGGCAACCAACCTTTCTAAACACTTATCATGGGCTATAAGCTTCTCAAAAGGGTGTAGTGGCGGGGGGGGGGGTGAGGTGGGGGCAGTGATGCAGGTTTGGGTTGAATTGGAATTCTTTCTAAGACTATTACTTTGATCGAATGTGTTTTATATTTTTCTCTTTTTGTCTTCTTGTTTTTAAATCTTTTAAGTCTAAATTTCTGGATTTCATAGATTGGACTTCAATCGTTGTAATTTTTTTGATGGGCTCCTGTTTTTCAGTAATTACAAGTATAAGTGGACGCTTTGCTTCTAACTTTGGCTAAATCTATACATTAAAATTATACGAGAATTGACTCACTGGCGGTAAAACAAGTTTGTCTTGGGCCGGTTTAACACGCAACTAAAAGCACAACCACTTTTTGCTATCTGCAACAACTTTTCGCAACCTATAACAACCTGTTAAATATGGTTTGATTCGTGGCTGGTAAAAGCACACAACGCCTCTATTCAAGTGGCACGTTTTTGTTGTCCTTAATATTCCGTCTTTATTTGCTAGTTCCTCGGTAAATTCACGATATAAAGGGTGTTAAATCTAGCAGATAGTTTTTAAATAGCAGTTGTCATCTGTTTGGGGGGTTGGTTTCTGCCATTTTCTCTAGTTCTAAGAAAACAGCTGAGCTAAATCAACTTCCTCAGGGCTTCTCACATGTTGACGCTTTTTTTTTCTGTCAATATTCCTTGCAATTAACGTCATTGGTATTGATATCACAAACGTCTTGTTATTTTGTCAGCGAAAGCAGGTGGTTATGAAGAATTAGCCGCGCGACATGAGCCATCCAGAAACAGAGAATTATTTTGAATAAAATAATAATAATTCAAATATCCAGAATAATGTGACAAAAAACGATCGTCGATTTCTTAATGTCTCGTTTAACACCTTCTGACGTGTGGGATGAAAATCT